CTTAGAAGATGCCATGACACTTCAAAGGGACCTTAGAAATCATTTAGCTCAACTATTTCCTTTAAAAAAGAGCTTGTTTACCTTGTGCAGTGTTTTAGGTGACAGAGCTGGGAAAAAACTCGGGTCTTTTGTTTCCCCATCCCATGTGCGTTTCATTGCCCTCTCTTGTTTCCCTGAAAACTCAGATGACCTTGCCACGACACCCTCCATGTTGTGTGTCCACCTTCTGATTTTTCTCAACAGCTTTTGCAGATTCCACCACTGTTTTCCGCTGCCTCTTAGATTCCTGTATCCCAAAGCCTTTGTTTGTTTAACAGGCTGGCCGACCTTCTGCCTCATTCCAACTTGCTTCACATTTGTGAAGAAGAAAATTAAAGCTGACCTGGAGGTAGAGTTTATACCTTCTTGGGGGCATTTTCTCTAAACCTTCCCACTTGTGCTTCACATACTCTTGTCACCAGCACCTGCCTGAATGTTACCCTGTTGATCCCTCCCTGCAAAGCTGAAGCCAGTGCTCTCAGGGTTACTGATTGGCCACAGTCTGGGAGCCCAACATTGGTGATCTTATCTTGTGATTTATGGATAATAACTGATACAACTAGCTCTGAAAACTCATTAACTTTTTTTTTTTAAACCTTGGACTTCCTTTTATGGGTGACTGGGAATTCCAGGTAAATTAAGTTTTCCTTTGGAATGCTTTATGGGAGAAGGCAGAAATGAAGCAGAAATGCTTTATTGAACAATATTTTTATTGCCGGAGCAAGCCCATGATGGAGAGATGCCTTGTTTCTGCGAAATCATGAAAATCCCACCAAAGAGGCAGCATATTGAAAGTACAATCATAAAATAAGCAACATTTTATAGCCTTCTGGTTTTTTATATTACTTGTAGAATTTAAACACATGTTATCAGCAAATACTCTTCTCAGTATTAAAACAGTCGTTCTCAAACTTTAGTGTGTCTTACAATCATCAGGAATTTCCATTTTAACAAGCACTTCCAGCCTGTAACTTTAATTAGAAATTCCTGTTAAAAAAAAGCATTGGTATCTAGCTCAGCTTTTTAAACTAAAAGCCAATGTTTGTACTTGTTGTCCAAGAGGTCTAGATAATTTAAAGTAAAAAGATGTTAATGCAATAAGATCCTGCCAGTGTTTAATTAATATGAATCATTTTTAATGCCATAGACCAGGTTTCCAAATAGAATGCTAAAGTTAATGGGCAATATACTGAACCAAAACACTACCAGGTCTTTTAACAAAATCATAAAAAAATGGTTTTAACCTCTAGTTTTATGTTTTCCACTTTCTTGTTTTCTCTGGAGCACACAGTGAGGGGAACACGAAACACCATCTCTATTAGGGCCCCTTAGCATCACTCAACCCTGGGGTCACAGATGGGATACTCATGCCTGACCAGTTGCCACAGAAATACATTCAGTTAAGTCACTGCAAGAGAACTAGGAGCAGTGAATGGATTAACATCACCTATCAATACTAAAGAAAAAATGCTAAGAGTACTTGCCTTTCAGACTTCATGTTTTATAATTATCAAAATGTGTCTTTTCATAGGCCTACCAACAAATCTTACAGATATGACTGTGTCCATCCATGGGTACCTCTCAATCCCTAATTTATTGCTGTAAGATTTGCTGATGGAACTTTCAATTAAATTTTCTTTCCTAAGTGGGAATCTAGAGGAACAAATTTCTTCTTGCTATTTCCAGAGTGAGATCCTGAATACTTGCTTTGACAAGGCAACCTTCAGCTTCTTATATCATTTATTTTTATATGCTTAGAAAGTATGTTTATAGAGAACAATATGTATAGATTCATCTATAAATGAGCCAAACTACAATCTTTACAGAGGGATCACATCCTGAAATGGCCCCTTGCCTTTTTACTTGTTTTTTTAAAAAGAAGAGCACAGCAAGCTGCCCCCTTTCAAGGATTCACTGAGCAAAGCAGAGAATAAAAGGCATAATTCATGGGCTTAAAATCAGTGATAGACCAAAACCAGAGTGGAAATGAGAGAAAACGGCACTGACAATTGACTGCAGGGAACGAGCTACATGGAGTAAGCCTGACATTCCGCATATTGGACCCCGGGAAAATGAGAGATAAAGAGTGACAAAATGTCACCATGGATTCCCCAGAGCCCTTTCTTTCATAGCTGCAAAACCCTTCCTGCTCTAAAGCAACCTGACACTTCTATTGAAATGAGAGGTTACCTCTGGGCAGCAAGGCTTCTCACTAGTTGGTCGTTTCCTTTATCATTAGTTCTGTGATCCAAATACTGCCATTGTCTTGTCCTAACAAAGCAGGAGGAACCTGCAAAGAGAGAGATCTGCTAATGTGGTGGGCAGGTGTGCCCTGGGCACCTGCGTTCAAAGCCACCCTGCCAAAGAACCGAGCCAGACTTCCGATGTAATTCGTGGAGAAAACTGCCATCTTAAAGTGCACATCTTCCTCCAAAATATTTTTCCTAGACATCAAGTTAGGGAAGGAAGGTCCCTGATCAGTCACGTGGCTCATTTTTCTTAAACATAACAGAAAATCAACCCAAGTTATTTCAGAAAAAGCTGCCAAACGCAATTCCACAAATTTCTCAGTAACGCTGTAAACATGAACTCATCCACAGGAAAGTCCTTATTCCTAACCCAGGCCTATCATGCTATAATTCTACCTCGTTCGTTACTGTTTAGTAAAAACAGAGAACCCCTAGTCATTGCAGATCACTTATCAATTGAAGTTTAACATGTGAATGGCTTGAAAAAATTAAATACCTCTTACCCACTTAGGTATTTTTTAATGAACTGTCCGTCATTATATTACTTTTATAAACACACATTGGTCCATTCTGTTCTTAGTCACTTCCAGTGAGAGTTATAAGATGTAATGCTTTCCCTTATGAGAGTAAATCCTTTCGAAGTGCAGCTGATCTTTACCCAACAAAGAGGTGTTGTTGGTGGCAGCTCTATGATAAATATTTAACGATGTCACCGGTTGCCAAAAATGATCATTGTTTATGGCAAAGAGTGCATATATTACGGATTGAATTGTGTCTCCCCCATAAAGATACTTTGAACTCAAAATCCCCAGCACCTCAGAATATGACCTTATTTGGAAACAGGGTCTTTGCAGATGTGATTTGTTAAGATGAGCTCCTACTGGAGGAGAGACCTCATAAGGACATGAACATTTGAAGACCTGGAAACACAGGAAGCACGTCATGTGGTGATGGAGTAGATACTGGAATTGTGCAGGCATAAACCAAGGAGCATCAGAGATTAAGATACCACTAGAAGCTAGGAAGAGAAAAGGCAGGATTCTACTGTGAGTCTCGGAGGGAACATGGAACTGCCAACATCTTGATTCGAGACTTCTGCCTCCAGAAGTGTGAGATAATAAATTTCTGTTGTTTTAAGCCACGCACTTTGTGGTACTTTGCATGGTAGCCCTAGGAAACTAGTACAACATATGCCATGCATTTTGTGGTTAATTTTTATTCAAATAAATGAGGATCCAGTCTGGAAAGGATGCTGACCCACAAACTAAGATGTGTTGGGAGAAAGAGGCAAAGTCATAGGATGCAAAACAGATGTTCTTATATGTCTCTTAGTGTCTACTTGATCAAAAAAGCAAGGAGTAAAGAGTAAATTCTAGCCTGGGATTCTAGGACTGGCACTGCCTTTAGAACATTGTAGTATTTTTGTTACTCACTCAACTGTGGGGACCTTGGTTTCCTTGCTTATAAATGAGGCAATGAGACTGGACCAGCTCTTCCGTTCTAATAAGTAACATGTCTGTTCTTAATGCCTACACGTCAGTCGTCATGTATTGATATTTGAAACCCGATCTTGTGTTCCTTGACCTTTGGTAGATTCTGAGAATTTAGATAATTAAATTAATTTTAGTATTAGCCTAAGAAAGCTAATTTAAAATGAAAGGAATATTTTATGCATTCCTAATAGATATATTCACAATTTATCAAAGATCTTATTGTTCATGATGGTTTCCCTTTAGCAATGCCAAGAAATGTGGATTTGTGATTGTATCCACTCTCGTACCTATGCATATAATCCTCAAATCTTTTTCTTTAGTCCTAACCTTCCCCCAAAATACAAAATAAACAGTGGCATCTCCACCTTAACGTCCTTTGTCAGCATGTCCCAAATTGAATTCTTTATTATTTTTCTAATAGCACCAACATCTCAGCAGCCAGGCTAGAAATCTTAGTCATGCTCCCACCCCAGCAGCAGGCCTCCAGCTCTGTTTCCCCTCAACATTCCCTGTCCCCCTGGGACTCTTACTGTCCCCTCCTTTCCATTCAGAACCCATAGAATGTACAACACAAAGAGTGAACATAATGTAACTATGGACTTTGGGTGATAGTGATGTGTCATTGTAGGTTCATCAGTTGTAACAAATGCATCACTCTGGTTGGGGATGTCGATAGTGGGGGAAGCTAAGAGTGTGTGGCGACAGGGGTTTAAGGGAAATTTCTGTACCATCCCCTACAATTCGCCGTGAATCTTGCATTGCTCTAAAAAATAATAAAGTCTTAATAAAACAAAAATAACTGCCTACAGAATTTGTGTTATATCTATCCATATTTACCAGGACCATCCCTTCACCCTATCACTTAAATATGAATTTCTTATTTACAAATCTCTGTTGCCTAGGCTAACGCGTCCAACTCTCTAGCTAAAGAAAATGTTCTTCTCAAGCATAAAATGCCATGCAAATCACTCAAAGATAATTACCCCTAAGTACATTCTTTTACTTTTCCAGAGGCAATCCCAATATGTGTTAAACTATCCACAGGTTTTGTGATTCAAGAATATTTTTTTAAAACATATTTTTAGGTATGTTAAATCATAATAATAATCACAAAGGGAAAAAATGGAGAAAGGACAGGAACTAACATTAGTTAGTAATAGAAGCCTTAAATCTCTTATCTCATTTAATCTTCAAAATCATTCAGTGAGTTTATCTTTACCTTGCAAAATAAAAAATGTGGAAGGGAGAGGGTCTCAGAGATAAATTCCTCATTCAGGCTTAGTCACCTTCAATCCCAGGTGGTCTTAACATCACATCACATTACCTCCCTGAAAGTAAGAAAAAAGCCACAGTTAGCCCTGATAGTAATGGTCAATAAGCATTGGTGAATTCATTGCATTCATTTTTGCTTTCAGTACTCAGAAGATGGTTAACTGCATCCATTCTTATTTTCTTCCTAGGATAGCGAAGTTCGGTTGGCTGATATAATCTCGCAATACTGAAAACTGTTTTGTAGTATGACCATCTAGTTGTGGAAACAAATTGGTTGTCAAAAACAATTAACTATATCAACTTAGCCTTAAACCTGGGCTATGGATATTGAATAAACTTTTACTGTTATCATAGTAAACTTTTTCTATGTTCTTTCCTTCTGGCAGACTATTTTGCTTAAAAAAATTTTTTTCCTAGAAAAATAAACCTGGAATTAGTTTTTAAAGTGTGATCTTTGATCTTTTTATATTTGCATTACAATTTTAAAGTTCGTGTATGAGTAAGGTTCTACTGAAGGGAAGACAGTTTGTGCTCATTTTAATACTAAAATGCATCATGATAATTTTCACTTATTACTCATAATTTTCTGATTTTGTCATCCCTAGTTTTAGTTTTGCATTAAGGAAATTTAAAGTTAACTCATGATTTCAAACTGCTCTCTGCTGACTAGTTTTTATTGGCTTTTTACAGATTAAACTAGCAAAATGCTATAGAACCCCAAGATAATAAAAATTGAGTCGACTAAATTCTATATTAAATTCAGAGTTTCTATTTACTTAAACCATGGAATACGATCTCCTGTACAATACTTACACTGAGAGTGCTGAAGAAGTTAGCGTACAGATTGCTTTTGTATTTGTGTTCACTTAAAAAAAAGGGAAGGAGACCTGGAAGGCTTGTTTCCTTCCAGAAGTGCTTTTGTCTCGGGTTTCAGCTGATCTGTGTCTAAACAGGAGTCACATACCTCCATCTTGTGGCCCAGTCATAAAATTCCCATGCTCTATTTCTTTCAAGATGTTCTAGTTTTGTATGAAGTTTCAAATTTCCCAGTCTTTTAATTAATACCATAATCATTTGAAAATTTGTTTCTTAAGATTCATGTAATACTGAATGGTATTCCAATCATTAGTGGCCTTTAGAAAGTTAAGCATGGTCTCATCTGTTTCTAAAAGTCACTAATAGTCATGAAACACAAATCCATTCTCATGGCCAGTGAAAAGGCCAATTTCCTCTATTGCCCTAAAGAGAAAAAAAGAGTTTCTTTTGAATTGTTTGATTTTTTTGTCTAATATCATTTCACAGTGATGTATGCACAGCCCTTTTCAAAATTCCATTTTAACAGCCTATGATTATTTAGTAAAGAACAAGATCAAAAGACTTAATTAAACCCAAGATATGTTATCTCTTTTTTTTTTTTTTTTTTTTTTTTTTTCGCGGGCCTCTCACTGTTGTGGCCTCTCCCGTTGCGGAGCACAGGCTCCGGACGCACAGGCTCAGCGCCCATGGCTCACGGGCCCAGCCGCTCCGCGGCATGTGGGATCCTTCCGGACCGGGGCACGAACCCCTATCCCCTGCATCGGCAGGCGGACTCTCAACCACTGCGCCACCAGGGAAGCCCGATATGTTATCTCTTCTGCTTTCTCACAATTTACCAAATTCATTCCCTTGTAACAGAAGTATTTTTATTTTACATTACTTTGGCTAGTTTTCTTCCTTAAGAATCAATACTGATATTTATTCGACATGCATAAAATTGGGATTATGATAGCTTTTTTTCTAGTATCTTTAGAATACTAGTGAAATCTGCAAATATATCATTTGTCATTTATTATTTAACTCAATTTATAATGGACATTTTCTAGTCCTTAAACATCTTTCTCCATTTTACACTCCATAATCATTGCTCTCTGCTAACACCAGCTCTGCTCCCAAACCGTTCTGATCTCTTCAAAATGATAGCTCAGAGTCACATTTGTTTTTTTTAAAATCTAATGAACCCTATCTTTGATCAGAACCTTTTATTTTATTTTGTTAAATTCAACCATCTAATTAAAACAGCAATCTCCTCTTAATGTACATCTGCTTGAAATTAAGTGTTGGGGAGTTCACTAACAGTGTTTCTGATTACATGTTTTATATCATGGTTAAATTCTTAATGTTGCTATTGATGAAGATCTTCATATTGTTATAATGCTAGATTTTTACCCATCAAATCATTATTTTTATTTGACATTTATTTTGTATTTGATATGTCCCATCTGCGTCTCTTAGGATCATTTAAAATGATTTGGGATACATACTAAGTATGATTACTTAATTCTTCCTCACTTATATTAAATGAACAATCTTGCCATCATCATTAACTTATTCTATATGTTAAATGCCATAGGAATTATAACCTTGCCCTTTGTTGTTTTGGTTCATTCATTCTTTTGATTCATATGAAGCACTCTCTCTAGCTATTTATTGTCTGTTGTCCAGTAAAATTCCCACTTTGCAGAAATGAGGGAAATAATATTCTTGATTAAAAGAACCAGGCATTATTTTACAGAATGGTACAATATCACTATAACCAAAAAGTAAATGTCCCTTCCCTTTTCAGAGGCGAGCTGCTGATAATTTAAGAAGACATCACCAATATCAAGTAAGTTATTCTTATATCTTGACACTTACATTAAAATAAAGCACAATCTCCTCTTTGGAACTGACTCAAGAGAAAAATCACATTTATGCACTGAATATCAATTCTCTTGTGTTCAAATGCCTCAGGAAGTTATGAGGAACCTGGTAAAGCGATACGTGGCTGCAATGATTAGAGATGCCAAAACTGAAGAAGGTCTGACTGAGGAGAACTTTAAGGTAACCACTTTCATCTTTGTCGCCAAAAGGCAGATTCTGCAGAGCGTGGAACCAGGTGCAGCACGTTTAACACCAGAGCTGGAAACTGGGCCACGTGTTCTGAGCAAGCCTGTCTGTCTTCTGATTTTTAAATTCAAGCCCTATTGATTTATATATTAAAAAAAAAAAGCGGTAAAATTTCTTTTCAAAGTACATTGCTTTCAAACAGACAATCTGAAAGATCGAGGGGACTTATTTGGAGGCAAAGAAAATCCTAGTGCCTTGTGGCATTCTGATTGCTCATCCCAGCCACACTCTACTGAGTGAGCTTTACTTTTGGAAATGTCGGTCTGATTTCTAAACCTGAAACACTTAGTAACCAACATTCTAAAAACAACAACAAAAACCTTCTTTGTGTTCGGCACGGCTTTGGTAAAAGAAAATTTAAGGTCTGAGCTTAACTGTAGCTTATAAAAGTAGTTTTTCTCCCTGAGTTGTTTTTGGTTTTTTCAATTCTATCACAGAAGAAAGGTAGAATACACGAAGTATATATTTGCTCAAATCATGTGTATAAAAAATGCCTTTGTTAGCCTGCATGAGTTGCTAGAGATTTTGGAAGACTAAAGTCAATAAGATCTCACAGGCAAAAACAAACAAATAAAAAACCCTACAGGAGACCTTTGACAAAGAAAAACAGCAGGCTTAACAGAGAATAAATATAAGCAGCATTAGGTAAGAAGAGAGATAAATTGCAAAACTTAAAGCACAGATTGAAAGTTGGCTAGGATCCAAAACGTTCTTTGCTGCCACACCTCTGAATTTTGGAGTTAAACGATTCCTGATGCTTTGGGAGATGCACTGGTGGCAGGAGGCGACCACAAGGCAACCAGCAGGTTAGGACTGAGAATTCAGCTGCCCCAAAAGATAAAGGGATGAATCTAGGAAGTGCTGTGTGCTCTGAATCAATTCCCAGGATTTAGTGGCTGATTTTTTTATCCCCAGAGGTTGGGATAAAATCAACTCCAAGGTAATAAACAATTGAAACTAACTGCCAACTCTTGGAAGGGTAGACTCCACTTTAATTATTTTGTTTTAGATATCCCCTTGGACAGCAAAATGTCCCTGAGAGAATGTAAGATGACTTGAAAGCAGATGAATATTTTGCAGAGAAAGAATTTGAAACTGTAGTTCCAAAGAAACCCAACATACTCCACCAGAGTGATGGGAAAGAAAACTCTTCCTGTTTCTTTTTACATCAACCGTAGGAAGTCTCCTATTACTACTGAACTCCGATAGGGAAATTAGGAGATAACAAATAGATACAAGTGCCCCTGAGAGAACTGACAATTCTAAACAGAACCACAGCAGAGTGGACGCCTAGCTCTCAAAAATGAATGAAGACGTGTCAGATCCATATATGAAACGAGCAGATAATGATTCTTAACGTTTATTTGTTTAGGTCACAGACTAATTCCGTCGTTTTCCATTTCACTTAGGAACTGAAGCAAGACATTTCTAGCTTCCGCTTTGAAGTCCTGGGGTTACTAAGAGGAAGCAAACTCTCTACGGTCCAATCTGCTCAGGGCACGAAGGATTCTTCTAACTCCGCAGACTCGGATGAAAAGAGTGATAACGAAGGTAGTAGCAAGGACAAGAAAAAGAACTTTAGCCTCTTCGACTTAACCACCCTGATTCACCCACGATCAGCAGCGATCGCCTCCGAAAGACACACCATCAGCAACGGCTCCGCCCTGGTGGTGCAGGAGCCACCGAGGGAGAAGCAGAGAAAAGTGAATTTTGTGACCGATATCAAAAACTTCGGGTTATTTCATAGACGATCAAAACAACACGCTGCCGAGCAAAATACAAACCAAATCTTCTCCGTTTCAGAAGAGGTGGCTCGTCAACAAGCTGAAGCACCACTAGAGACAAACATCCAACTAGAATCTCGAGGGTTAGCTTCCCGGGGTGACTTGAACATCCCAGGTCTCAGCGAACAGTGTATATTAGTAGATCATCGAGAAAGAAATACGGATTCCCTGGGTTTACAGGTTGGCAAGAGAGTGTGTTCATTCAAGTCGGAGAAGGTGGTGGTGGAGGACACGGTTCCAATCATACCAAAGGAGAAACATGCAAAGGAAGAGGACTGCAGTGTAGACTACGATGCAAACCTCACAGACATGGTCACCCATGAAGATTACGTGACCACAAGATTGTGATACTTGACAGAGGAAGCATTTCTCATCCATAACACACATCTTCCATAGTGCACTGGGTGGGGGATGTTTAAAGGTGAATGAGCCAATGCTAACGTACGCTTTATAGCATTTATCAACTGGGGCCTATTGACATGTCATGTTTAAATAAGGCAAAGGCTATCAAACACCCTTGTTTTGTAGCCCGCTTTTGCTTTCACAATTTGTTTTACAATTTGTTGTTGTTGCTGTTAATAAATAAATGCACCTTGTATTCTTGTTAATAAATAAATGCACCTTGTATTCTTGTACTGTTGCAATAACTTACAGGAAATTTTTAGCTCTCTTTTTCAATTAAAACAAATGTGACTCAATATATGTGCTAGTTGACTCCTATAATAGATATTTTTATATGCAAAGAACAATGTAGCTGAAATATTAGCGCTTTTCACAATTTTTTAGGGTCTCTAGAGATGGTTACTCAGCAAGGACTTTTCACTTAGCCCTACAATTTGGCTTTAAAACACAAATATTATCCAATTTTTTTTTAAGAACATGTAAAACATTATCATACACAGTTTAAGCAAACAAGCCTCCTTCTCAGAGTCAAGCTCAGACTTTTAAAATGAAAGTCAGGTATAATTTCTAGAGTTTTAGGTTGCCCAGTTTTTCCTTTCAGTAAGTAAAGGAAATGTTCGTCTTAATAAATGTTGATGACTGATGATTTTTAAAATTAATTTATTCATTTTAATTTTTTTGGCTGTGTTGGGTCTTCGTTTCTGTGCAAGGGCTTTCTCTAGTTGCGGCAAGCGGGGGCCACTCTTCATCGCGGTGCGTGGGCCTTTCACTATTGCGGCCTCTCTTGTTGCGGAGCACAGGCTCCAGACGCGCAGGCTCAGTAGTTGTGGCTCACGGGCCCAGTTGCTCTGCGGCATGTGGGATCTTCCTGGACCAGGGCTCGAACCCGTGCTCCCTGCACTGGCAGGCAGATTCTCAACCACTGCGCCACCAGAGAAGCCCACTGATGATTTTTAATGGCATTTTGTCAGAAAATAATTTTTATTTTAATGTTTTTTTATGACCTTTTTCAGATTCACCTGCCAATCAGTATAAATATGAGGCTTTGTGAATAAGCGAATTTCAAAAATGTGGCAAAATTTCTAGAAAATAACAATAAATTGGAACAAAATAAGCACCTTAAACAAAGCGAGATGACTGCATGTTCATAACATCCAGATGAAAATGAATTCATTCTAATAATCTAAATCTAAGCAAAGTTAAATCCTATTTTCAATCAGTGCATTTTTGTAATTCAAAAGAAGTACAAAAACCTACTAGTTTCTTCTTCTTTACCCCAGTGACTGGTATTTCTTTAGAATTAAAATCACCCAAAAATCATTATTAATTTTAACAGTAGGTATAGATATACAGTTTTCCCCATGGGGACAAATCTTCATTGCTTTTTTCTTCTATTGTTTATAAGGTAATTTACCTTATATTATACTCATTCATGGAAAAGGAAGTGTTTTCACCTAATATCAAAAAAGGTGCTGGCAACTTCTTAAAATTTAAATTCTATAACTTGTATCTACTTAAGCCACCATGGAAATAGAAGTTTCCTCACCACATGCAATAGCATTTATTTCAAATCAACAGAAACATGCCGAGCTTGTTTCGTCAAAAATCACCTCCATGGGCTAGACAAATCATATATGATTTAGCACTGACCAAAAACTGCGTAGTATTACAAACCCCAGTTTCTGATTGCCGTACATCAAGAATAAGGACTAACAGCAATAGCAATGCCAGCCACTGTCTTATGTGCTATGCGTGTACTAACACACATGTACTGCTCATGACAACCCTCTGAAGTAGCTACTATTCTTATCCCCACTTCTTTGGATGAGGAAATCGAGGCAAGCACTGACTAAGCTGAGGTGCCCAGCTAGTGATGAAGCTATGATGAGTCCTTCAAAGCCATGCCCTTGACTGCTTTATTGTACTGCCTCTCAGAATGCAGACCAAGCAAAACAATGTGTACAATAGACGTTACTGTTGCCACTTCTGAAATGCTACAGTGTGAGAGAATGAGTTTGGTAAACTCCATAAATTTGTGTCCCTTCTTGTAAAGCAAAAGGAATATGCAAAATTAAAGAGGCAATGTATTTGACTCTTTAGACAATTACATTATAGAAGTTAGTAGATTTTTTTTAAATGGATTTGATATGGGATATCAGAATTCAACTTGAAATATTAGATTTTAGTTTTCAGGAAAGCCAGAGGCACTGACATGCTGCTCATTCCTAAATCTGGATTTTGTCCTAGGGATTTAGGAATGGGCCAGGGAGGTTTAGAGAAACACAGTAAGCTTAATGAATGTTCTGACTGCTTCAGGAACACCTTTATCTCAAATATGTTAGGACTCAGAATAAGCCCTGGGAGACAGTGATTTAAATACTCGAGTTGTTCTAAGTCAGACATATAGTAGTAGGGGAATTGTAGTCATACTCTCAGTACATGCGGTATTTTCCAATGATTCCTTTTTTGCTGCCTCTGTTGTGTGTGTATGTTTTTCCCCCAACGGTAAACATCATATATATCACCATGATACATACTTTACAAGAAATTTAATTCCAAATTTCCTCTGTTCCTTCCAATAACACCACCAACAATAAAAGCAACCAAAAATTTTTTCCCAGTAGCTTATTTATATCAGGTTAGGGTGATGATGTTCTACAGGTAAACACGGTGATAGTAGAAGGATTTCTTCGGAGCAGGTTAACACCCTGCTTTTCAGTATTCCAGAAATGATGGTTTCTAACAATCCTCAGATGTCACTGACAGAGGTATTTATGAGTTTAAACAAAATATAGATATTACTTGTACTGGATATCCTAGAATTGGATATTATTCTAAATACGTAGTGATATTAGGTAGCGTTAATGAAGGGGAACAGCAGGGAAAGAATAAGAAAACATAAAACCACAGCAGAATTGCAAAGTAAAGGGATGATGTGTCTTTAAGTTTTTTAAGTGAATAATTTGAGGCTGCTTCTGATTTCTATTCATACTTCTATCAACAGAAATTCCTAAACACCAGAGAGAGATTTGACATCATGCTTCGGTTTGTGTAAATAATATATCTTGTGTTCATGCCCTTTTGACCTTCTTGTTGCTCACCTTTATTTATTTACTTATTTATTGCCAGGGTTGGGTGGAAAAGGATTTAGAAATTTCAGTATAACTTTAGTAGAATTAGGTTCAGTTCATAGCACTTCACTTAACCATAGATATGTTTTGGAAAACCAATTTACAAGAAAGAATGCTACAAAGATGCACTCCACTGTTTGTGATGAATGTATTCCTGAAAATATCTGTGTAAATAAGTCTATATTAACTTCAGCAGGGAACTAGCTCTGTAAAAAAAAGAAATAATGGTGGTGAATTATTTTGTAAAATGATGAATTATTTTTCAAAGTGATAATCCTCCTCAAAATGTAACTGTTTCATAAGTTGGATATTTGTATATCAAAATTTCTTAAATTAGATATTTTATTTACGGGCTGGCAATTAAAATACTGTGAAAGCATACTCACTTTCTTGCCTTGACCTGGACAGCAACTTGACATACTTCAGTCATCAGCACACAAACCCAAACAATGAAATTTCTTGGGTAACTGTTGGAGTATAAAGAAAAATATGATGAAGAGTTAAGGATAGTAAACTTATCATATTATTCTCAAAGAAGCAGTCAATTTTTCAGCCAATGTGGAAGGAATATAGATAACCAGTGGCATAAAAATTCACTCTTCTACTGTTCAATAACCCTTCATAATTCTGTGATTTGATTGAGTGAATGATTGTCCAGCCCCATGACTATCTGTTGAAGACCAGACATCAAGCACTGAAATCTGTTCATTCTCATTTATTTTGCACATTGTGTTTGCAGCAGAATTTCTACAGTTTAGACATCTGTCAGTTTCAACAGTTTAGGTAGTAACCCAAAAAATCAGCCTAGCGAAAACCATCCATGTGTCTCTGTAAGTATGACACATGGATGGTTTTACAATGACTCAAATTTTTTAAAAGCCAAGTTTATGACTATATTTCCCCATTTTGAAAATTATTTCTTCAGTTTATCCTTATTGTATTTTTTTCTTGTCCTATAGTCTCCAAAATTCAGACTGTCCAGTAACTGTAGAATTTAGAAATTTAAAATAGGTGGTAGTCTCCATAAATTCAACTTCAAAAATTTTATTCTAATTATTTCATAATATATTACAAGGCATTTTGTTTATATAGTGTTATCACGTGACTTTTTTAAAATTTGAAAACCGTATTAAATATTAGTTCTCCATATATAACTGGAGAAACTAAGGCTCAGGGCATTTATGGCAGTTTTCAAATTTACCCAGCTACTCAGTGGTTGAGTGGGAGCTTAAAGAAAAAACTCTTCATCTAGATATTCTGATAAGATACCAGGTCATAAAAGTCTTGGCTAATGAATTTTTATTTTTGTGGAATTATTTCTTGTTTGCCCTCTCCTTCAGTAGAAAAGATTTATAGTCGTTCAAATTTTCAATGGCTAAAATTTTGAGTTAATATCATATTACCATTTTTCCCCTACAAAATTGTGTTCACAGATTTTTTTTTTTAAAGCTGGTTTCTTACTGTTTTCTAAAAATACACTGTTCAGTACTTTCACTTCAAGTTGTAGATTTTGTGACAATTCTATGTGCACACTGGTAATAATAAAATGTATTGACTAATATTAAACCTTCTTAACTGAAACATGATAGAGCTGGAAAATATGAAGCAGAACCAAGATTGAGACCATGGGACCAGGGCTAGATATGGCCATGCCGTCACCGAGCTGACAAACAGTGTGGCTGTCACTTCATTGCCAGAGAAATTCACCAGTAGCAAAACCATCAGTTTCCATTAGAGCTGCCCTGTCCAACATCATAGCTACTACCTGCATATGGTTACTAAGCACTTGAAATGTGGTTGTAAGTGTAAAGCACACACCAGATTTCAAAGACTTAGTATGAAAACAATGTAAAATATTAATATTTATATTGGTTACATGTTGCAATGAGAATATTTTAGATGCATTGGGTTAAAATATACTAATGAAATTAGTTCCACATTTCTCTTAACTTTTTAATGGAGCTACCACAAGATTTAAAAATACCTTTGTGGCTTGCATTTGTAATTTGCAGTACATTTCTCTTGGACAGTGGTGCTATTTGTTTCACTCAATTCATGTATTTCCTTCATTTGGATTTCATGGGTAAAGCTTATATATTCAACTGCTCAGAAAACGTTGATGTGGCTGAACTAAAATTTGTCGTCTCTCATTGATTCCCAATTTCCTTACGTAATCACCACTAATACGTTTCTGTTTTTCACATGTTTTTCCTTGCCTTTGCAAATATATTAATATATGAATACATATAGGTTATGTTTTTTTGTTGTTTTTATCAAGAATGGGATTATACTATATGTATAGCTTAGCGACTTGTTTTTCATCAAGCAGAGTATCATGGAAGCCTTTTGTAGAGCCATTTAATATAGCAGAGACATTTTAATTCATTCAAAGAAAATCCTTCACTAGCTATTTTACCTTTCGAAACACATTCATAGGCTATTCTAAAAGCTCTTTGGAAGAGCTACTTATTGGGTCAAATGCGAGATTCTGAGGAGTACTTGAGAAATGACGACGATGAGGTATTTTGAAAGGCAAATATGCTCACTTTTCTCTCTGTTCAGCTCTCTCTGTTGCAGAGCTCTCTATTGCCCTTGTGTTTAAGTGCAGAGTCCACAGCAGGACTGCATAAAGTGGCCCCACTTGATGGTACCAGCATCATTTTTCAGCATCATTCTTTCGTACACGTTAAACTTCAGCCATGCTGGACTTCTTTTCGCTATTTAAGACAATATTTCTCTTTCCCCAACATTTGCAAATACTGTTCTTCCAGGCTTGGATCATAATTGGACTAAAAATTTATAACTTTAAAGAATTTTCTTTAATATAGGATTTTAATTAATTCTAATCTATTGTTTTTATGGTTGCCTTTAGGTCTAATTGTTTTACCAAATGTCTTTTTCCTTAAAGATTATCTTTTCCTGAGCCTGAAGATAATGATCTAGGCTTCCCCACTCTGGGAGTAAGAGTTTATCTGCATTGACTTCCTTTCAGACGTCAACTACTTAAGAGAGGTTTAATTTACTCTCAGGAAATAACTCACCGCCTTGCTTCAGCATTCACAATGCAAAATGCCCTGTGGCCTGGAAGAAGGCAGGAAGCTGGCGTGTTTTCATAGCTGCTGTGGAGCGACCACAAATTGGGTAGTTCACTCATTCAGATTTCATCTGCTGATATTTGAAATTTCTGGATGAAAATGTCCCATCAATCTCTAAAATACTGAACAATGCTAAATCATCTTTCTAAAGTTCTAAAGTTCTACCAAATAAATAGGGAAGTGGAAATGTAGGGAAAAATAGACACCATAAAATATTCAGTGAATGCTTATTTCTTCTGTTTTAGTTTTAATTAAACTTAAATTTTTTTCAGATCTTTATAGATTCATATGAAGTTGTAAGAAATAATACAGAGAAATTTCACGTACAATTTACCCATTTTCCCCTCAACAGAAACATCTTTCAAATCTATAGTACAATATTGCTTAATATTGATGTAGGTATAATCTACCAATCTTATTCATATTTCTGCAGTTTTACTTGTACTTATGTAGCTGGGCTTGTGTGTATATTTAGTTCTGTACAATTTTATCACATATATGGGTTTGTGTATCCACAGCCATAAGCAAGATACAGAACATTTCCATGGCTACAAGGATACCTGGTATTGCTTTTTGTTTAACCACATCCATTTCTTAACCACGCTCCCCCCGCCTCAATTCCAAACCCCTGACAATCTAACTTGTTCTCCATTTTTATAATTGTGTCATTTCAAGATTTTTATACATGTGGAATCATATGGTATGCAACCTTTGGGGATTAGTGGTTTTCACTCAACATAATTCTCTGAATATTCATCCAAGGTGTTACACTATTAGTAGTTTGTTCCTTTTTCACTGCTAAGTCTTATTCCATGGTGTGGCTGTACCACGATTTGTTTAGCATTTCACCCATTGAAGGACATCTGGGCTGTTTCCAGTTTTTGTCTATTACAAATAAAGCTGCAATGAACATTCATGAACAGGCTTTGGCATGACCAGAACGGTAATTGCTGGGTAGTTTGGTAGTTGCATACTTAGTTTTATAAGAAACAGCCACAGTATCCTAGCATGGCTGCACCATTTTGCGCACTCACCAGCAATGTATGAGTGAGTCAGCTTCTCTGCATTTTTGCTAGCATTTGGTGCTGTCACCAATTTTTATTTTATGTGTTCTGATAGTTGTGCAATGATATCTCATTGTGGTTTTGATTTTCATTCCCCTGATGGCAATGTGTTGAACAACTTTTCTTGTGCTTATTTGTCATCTGTATGTCATCATAGTGAAATATATGTCTTTTGTAGATTTTCTAATTAAATTATTTATGTGCTTTTTTGTAATGCTGAGTTTTTTGAGAGTTCTTTTTATATTCTAGATGCCATTCTTTTGTCACATATGTGTTCTGCAAATATTTTCTCCCAATCTGTAACTCATCTTTTTATCTTCTTAATGGGGTTTTTTGCAGAGCAAAATTTTAAAATGTTGATTAAGTCCAAATGTTCAGCCTTATGTTTTACAGCAATTCTAAGAAGCCTTTGTCCAGGCCTAGATCATGAAGATCTTCTCCAGTTCTTTTTTTTCTAAAATCTTTATAATGTTACATTTTATATTATGCTTTATATCTAACAATATTATTTTTTCTATTTTTTCCAAGTACTTTATGCAGATTTATGGGAAAAAAGTCATCTTGAGGAGTGAGATCACATACATAGAGAGGTAATGAAGAAAAGGATTGTGGACAGGTAAACATGCAGGTAGTAGTGAAACTGGGGTGACAAAAAGAAAGTTTAGTAAATCATTTTTATGACATAACAACTGACTTAGTTACTCAGAAATTATAGCCAGACTTTTCTGAAGTTTGAAAAAAACCCTCAAACTATTTCAATTCCATTGCATTTCTCCCAACTTCCTGAATCAGATGGAAAAGCAATATAGAATGAGAAAAACTGCTGTGATGAGACTGAAAACCAGAAACACAAAAAATTTTCAAATGCACCCATTCATGAAATCCAATTGCTGTTTGAAAAAGCCTGGGATTACTGAAATATGATCTAACCCTCTATTTTCTGAAGAACAATCACTAAATTTGAAGCTAGTATGTATGCACCATTAAAATAACCAACCATTTGTTTAAAATGCTTCTTTTTGGCTTTAACAGTGAACACCAACAACAAATGAATAATTTGGATATAAAAAATGTAATGTAATTCATTAATGTAAACTTAGTAAAACTAGAATAATGAAATTAAAACTACATGAGAATACATATGACACATTAAACAAAGAAATTTAGTGCACATAAAAAAATAATGATTAGCTGATAAACAGTGTGGCATAAAATTCCCATGTTAATTTAAAATCATTTCTCAGGCTTGCATTAGAAAGAAAAATTATCACTAATAACTAAAATAAAAAATAGGGGCTAGAATTTTAG